AAAATATTATTAATCTCTTGATCTTTAAAAAATACAGAAACTCACAAAAAATTACAAAACCAGAATTTATATACTTGTTTTGTAATAATTATTAATGTAAATTAGATATAATTTGGAACAATTCTAATTTAACTTACTTTTTAAGTCAAGTATTTATCAAAGAATTAATTTGAATTAACACTGATTACAAAGAATCAATTTGAATTAATACTGATTACAAAGCTATTATTTCAATATTTATACTAAATAATTTAATTAACAAAGTATTATTCGAAGATAAAAATACAAATACAAAATATTTATTACAAAAAATCTAACTAAAGAAATATGAAAAAATTATAAACAAGTAATTATTATTTATTTATAATTTGAAGATACTTATAACAATATAATATTAATAACTTTTAAATAAATGAAACAGCTACTAGTATTCTTAAAACAAAATTTATTACAAAATTAAACTGCAATAACAAAATACAATATTTAACTCCATGTATATTATATTATAAACTTATAAAAAACTCATTTTTATTTTTAATTCTAAAAATATAATACATATATAAATTAACAAAAAATTATTCACATTATAAAAAAATTCAACTAATTAGATAAAGACTCAAATATTAACTTATTTATAATATTTGATCACAATAATACTTATAAATAGCAACAAAAACTCAAAGAATATATAGCAAATATAGAGTTATCAATACTATAAAAGAAAAAAAATAATTCAAATGAAAAGTTATAATTACTAATCAACAAAATTTTGAAAAAAATAGAACCCAAATATTCAATAATTGCAATATTATTTCACATTATTAACTGTTTTTTAAAAGATATTAGAGAATATAAAAAAATCTAATGTATATTTTAGGATATAAAATGAGTATATGACTCAGTTAATTGGTTTATGCTTAAACTAGAACTAATTCACATAAAAATAAACAATAATTATATCAATATATTATTACAATTATGTTATAAAAATCATTAATTCCATAATTTGTAATATTTTACAAAATTATGAAAATCATGTAAAGGACTTAGAACATTTCACAATTTCATCATATATTTCAATATAACAAGGATAATTCACATAATATCTGTATAGCTTTCTAATACTTCATGTATATTAGTTTTAGTACACATAAAATGAGACTACATTGTAACTTTATAATAATAATAAGCTTTCAGAGTTAATAAAAATAATAAGCTTTTTGAATCTGAAGTATATTAATTGTATTAAACAAGTGTTATTAACTACGGTCCATATAACGTCCATGAAAAAACCTGTCTTGTTACTTTTTCTTTCTCTCCCCCCTCCCCGTTTGAGTTTTAGCCACTTACGCATCATAATCCAGTACAGAAACGTGCATCAACCAGCCCCGATCCATAAAGGTGTGGGTCGACTCTTAGCGCACCCATTAGCCCGGCCGTTGGACCAGAACTGCCCGTATCACTCAATCAACAACAATGAAATAATCCTAACATAAAAAATAATGGCATCTTCATGTATACTGATTGGGATACTCTAAATCAGAACAAATAAAATTTTTGATTTTAATGAATTTATCGATAAAGAAGTGGAGCATTAGGTAAGGTCTATAAAGCTGAGTTAAAAGAAGTACCAAAGTAAAGAAGGGCAGATCATGTGATTCCGATCCCGATGCTAACCATACGATATCCCTCTTAAAATTACGTATGCACCAATCAAATCGCAAATGTGCAATGCAAACATTCAAACAAATGCTTGAAACTACCTTTTGTGCTTTACTAAAAATGTTCCTTGCGAAATCTTACTATACATAATACTCCCGTTTAGAATAAGTTTAACTCTAAACCTAACCTAACCCTAACCGCAATTCTATTTAATATAATTTAAGAGGTTATCAGATGGTCGGCATCGGGGTTGGGAATCACATGATCTACCATTTTTGCCTCCACTTTGTTAATAAGTTGAAAGAGGGTGAGTAAACTGTTGCTTTAAAATGCATTTATATAAAAATCAAACAAATTGTGAAGAAATAAACAAACAGTTTATTAAAGAAGTATCATTTTGTTTGAGAATTGAAATATCTAAATTCAAGCTTAGCTGAACAACTCGCTAAAGGAGTAAAGTTATACATGATGTAGGCATTATTCATCGGGATTTGGCAAGAAAATTATTTAACATAATTCTAAATTTGATTTTATAAATACTAATGCTGAACTGTTTATTAATAGAATCACTTGCTCATAAGGGAAAAATTAAAATTCAGACTTATGCTATTCAAAGCTTTCAAATGATCAATTCCACTCGAAACCTATTGGGTGTGATTGACACCGTATTTCTAAGAGATATTGCCAATGTTAGACGATACGAAAAAATCTGATATTTTTAGCATTGTCTCCCATTAAGAAATATGAATATGTTTTTGTTCTTCATCAGAAAAGAAAAATTAATTTGCAGAACTCCAAATAAATACATGTAATGCGTTAAACTTTATCAAGCATCCTGGATAACGCACAAACTGCCCAAATATCTATGAAGTAAACAAATAACTTGAAGAAATAGAATGGCCAACCGCTTCGTCTTCTTTAATTCCAGAAGAACCGGCTATGATTACTTTTGATATTAATTGGTTTCCAAAGAAGAATATATTTGGAAATGTCAAACGTTGACAAAATTATTGACGAATTATTAACTATTAAATAATTTACTCGACAAAGAGGAAATTAGGTGCCCGAATTACAATCGTGTTACGACTTAAACAGTCAGAATTCTTTTGAAATTCAGGACGACTTGGAAATTTTCAGGATTTCTTTTTCAAATCGGATTCATAGTTGAAAAGGATGCTGCATTATCATTGAACATTTATATAGGTTTATCAAGTGATAACAACCCTTCAGCTCAATTCTTACTAAAATATACCTTTCAACATGGTATCGGAACACAAAAAATGAGAACAAAGCATTTGAGTGGTATTTAAGGTGGAAATGCTAGAGGACAATATACATGTAAACTTGGTTTTTGTTATGAAGGAATTGGAACACAAAAAGGTATTTAGATCAGCAAAGGTGAAGACACAACAGGTCAAAACAATCTTGGTCGATGCTATCAAGATATCGCATACAAGGAAATGCGTTTGAGTAGTATTTTAAATCAGTAGAGGGTGGAAACGCAACAGAACAATCTAATCTTGGCAATTGTGATCGATATGGAATCGGAACACAAAATGATTATGAAAAAGCGCTTGAGTATCTGTCAATGAATTTTGGTTCGATACATTTCGTACTGAATTATAACGTACACAGGAAAAAGAAAACAATTATGAATAAAAAAAATCATTGCTACTACTGCTCTACCCAAGAACTAATGCTAAATAGAATTCGCCCTTGGAGTGAGCCGATATGATCGATAACCAGTACATATAATATTATGGAGCCGAAATTTATCCGCTCTAGTTGTTTCTTTTATGCAATTTTGAATTAAAATTGGTTTACACAAACTTTGACGTTAATAATTATAGCGATAGTAATCTGAAAAATAACTCGATAAACTGGAGTCGGTTTATCGAGTGAAATTATTCATAATGCTAAATGCACCACTTAGCTGAAAGTTCAAATTTAATATCAAAAAAATTAACCATCCAAATATAATGCAAGTTTGTTTCGTTCTGAGAATCATTTGAATTTCCGTTATTTGAAACATTTGTGTAAATCCAGACTTGTGAAGGAAATTTACTTTGTTCTATCACCATCTCTATTCCCGTTTTATTAAATAGAATTTTGAATTGTCAATTAGTATAATTACAATTACCAATACGTATGTATGTAGTAGAAGAGGGTAAACATTCTTTTGTACCAACTAATTAGACAAAAGGCTGTGGTTTATATAGATATAATTGCTAATGTCAATAGTTATATGACTAGATGTAATATATTAAAGAAACCATAATTGAATTGCTCGAGTCATGGAAGAGATACGTATTTATTTACTACTGTATTTTGTGATTACATCATTCTTAAAATTAATATATGTCAAAGCATACATAAATTACCTGTTGATAATAATGAATTCTAACGCACTAACTAAAATAATTAATATCGATATTTCCTCTGACTCAAATCATAAGTCACGTTACATTGATATGTTTACACTGTGCGCAAGGATAATAGAAAAGTTGTGTCCTGTTTGGTTGTGCTGTTTTTCACGATTATATTAGAAAATATACACATTTTTACTCATTTACTAGTTCTATAGTTAAAGATTCCTTCTCGAGTAATATTCCGCCAAAACCGTCGCTATCGCAAAAATTCAACCAATAAAAAAAGCAGTATCATGAAAAATGTACGAATTGAGTCACATAATTGATAACAGGCAATTGCAACAACTTATTTTGTCTAAATGCGTGTTTGCATATATGAAAAATTTAAAAAGCAGTAATTTTTATATTCTATAACGCGCATTTATCCTTCGAGAGAATATTTGGGAAATACCAAAAAGAAAATGGATCATTAGGTATGTACATTTCCTCTCTCCGAGCAGTTGTAAAGAATTAAATTATCCGATTATTAATTTATGTCGTTTGTTAATATATATTTTGGACCTATGAAATTTTATAATGCCGTTGCCAACACTGATAATGCCACTAATTATTAAAATTGATTAATTTTCAGTGTACAACTTTAATGGTGGAACTTACAATAAACTGTGAGACACACATTTAACTCTAATTCAAAAAGTGATGAGTGAAATTTAACTATTGCTATACTGTTTGATGTATGGTTAAGAAATTAGATCTAAAAGTGTGTCTCACATTGGATACGTTTTCTACTATACGATCAATAGCCTAATTGGTTTCTCATTGATTCTTTTTCAGCGACACAACTGACTCGTGCTTGTAAAAAAAAATATAATATAACATCACGTATTTACCGCCAAAAATTATTCATCATTTTGATTGATAAAATTTTGACGAAAATATAAAAGTTTTAACAACACAAAACATTAAAAAATGAGTGAAGACCAACATTCTGCATCTTCTACTTTATCGTTATCTAGTGATGCAGCTCCAAAGATCGGTAATCCTGGCCCACTTGGTATATATAAATAGACAAATCTCTTTAATAACGAAAACGTGCTTCATTAAAAACTTCAATTCAATTCAAACCAAATAACTTTAACTTTCAATTTTCTTTGAACAGGTCTGTCCAGTTTTGCTCTTACTACTTTTGTTCTTTCCCTTTACATTGTTGGAGCTCGCGAAGTTACGCACCACAACATAATCGTAGGGTTAGCCTTATTCTACGGAGGCATTGTACAGATTTTAGCTGGAATGTGGGAATTCAAAGTCGGCAACACATTTGGCGCTACCGCTTTCTCTTCATATGGTGGATTTTGGCTTTCCTATGCAACAATTCTAATCCCAGGGTTTAATATTGCCTCCGCATACGCATCTAAATCCGAATTGGAACAAGCACTTGGAATTTACCTACTTGGCTGGACAATCTTTACGTTTCTTTTGTTCTTGACCACATTTAAATCGAAAGGCTCCATATTTGTATTGTTTTTCTTTGTAACAATAACATTTGTCTTATTGACTACTTCAAAGTTCCAAGAGAATTCCGACATTGAGAAAGCCGGTGGCATTATGGGTATTATTACTGCACTTCTCGCTTGGTATAATGCAATGGCTCAATTATGGACGCACGAAAATTCTTACTTTACGTTACCTGACTTCGACATGAGACGAAAGAGCAAATAGCATTCTATAATGTAAACGATAGCTAAATATTGATGGCTCATTTAAATGGTCATACTTTATCATTATTAGATAAGCATAACTATTCTTTCCCTATCCGAATCTTAAGAAAAGCATTAACATTTATAGAGTTTATGAAATAGATTTTATTTTAATTACAATTTCAATTCTCGATTTCTCGTCATTTCATGTGATTACTTGAATAATGCAACATACGATACTGCGTATGTGGCACTCTATCGATACTTTCCAATTACCGTAAACTGACGTGAATAAAAATCATACGTATAACGGAGGTGCTTATTCATGAGCAATTTTAGCATACAATATCGATATAATATAAATTATCATGAATAAGCGACCTTTGCATTTTACGGTATATATATTATTTGATTGCAAATTCAATTCAAACTCGCAACTTATCTTTTTAAAAATGTCCACTGCCATCTCCGATAATGGAATTTGTTTGCTGTCTTCAATCAAATATTATTTCTAACCATGTTAAAATCGGATGACTACAAACAGTAAACAATAAAACGGACTGCGTAGTAAATACAAGTACAGTCCCCTCTATAATCACACCCATCGGGACCCGGTGCTGGTGTGACTACATTGAGGTGTGCTTACATAGAAGGTTTTATTTAATAGTCACGTATTTAGCGACCTACGAACAGCGTGACTTTAAAGGGGAGTGATGATACGGAGATGGCTATAGAGAAGGACAACGGTGCTTTGTATAGAGGCCTACTCCGTTTTTCAAAATCTTTGACGATCTAAACATACTGATACTAAATTTAGAACGGAATCTTTTTCTAGAAATACCGATACACAATAGAAAATCCAGAATTTTTGTCTAGAACATATCACGTACTTAAGTATTAGTCAAACTCTGATATACGAATGTGGAAGTTTGATATAAAGATTACTACACTCATAACTATAATAATTAATTTTGCGATTTTGATAGTAATTCTCTTTTTTATTGTCTGACTATATAAAGCAAATATATTTATTATAGAGACACATAAAAAGTTCTATAATCGCGGCACCTTTAATTTTGATATCTCCATAACGATAGTTTCCGTATAAGTTTTCCTTTTAGTACATGTACTATTACATTTGTATATCTCATACGTGTACAAAATAAATGGATGCATCTAGAATCTTCTATATGATTTGTTATTCAAACACATGTACATGTATTTAATGCATGAATTTATTAAAATGTATGATCGTAAATCCTTTGAAGAAATTATTTACAACGCTATCGATATGCATCTAAATATAAATTTTGGAATACGAACCAACCACCGCTTGTTCTGTATTACTAGTTCTTTTTGGGATAAGATTCAATTTTTAATCTATGCATAGAGAAACGAACCGTTAGTACATGTACTTTCTTATAACTTGCATGCCTTGGATTAATTTCACTCTTTGCGTGGACGTATGTGCCAATTGAACTTTTCAAAAATGCATGGACATGATGACACAAAAAATAAATGACAGCATTTCCGAGGTGTTAACTTGACGTTAATGATTGCTGTTTGACCAGAGCAGGTGGCACTTTGTCTTACAAAATCCAGAAAACATTATTGAATGAATGGTGCCAGCAGGCATACATTGTCAATTAGGACTTTTTCATATCAAATGCAACTTACTACGTATATGACTTGAGTTCTGTGGTCTAAATATTTAATAAAGGCTTGAAATTTGCACAATGCATTTGTATTTGTATTAAATTGTCAAAACTCCGCTACTATAAATGGATTAACTGCAGAAACTTGTAAAGAATTCTCAAACAAACGCGATGTAGTTATATAATTAGTACATGCTGTGCACGATGGAAAAAAACAACGGAAGGTCATTCATTTTAATCCCAGAATGCTTCAAGGCATCGAAGTTACATTTGCAGAAGTTTATACATGTAGAAGCTGAAAGGTACCCCCAAGAGTCCATCAATAGATTGTTACTCTTACATAATGTTCATTCATAGTAATTTATATGTGTGTGTGTGTGTGTGTATGTGTGTGTGTATCGTATTACTAATAGTGCTCCCAACGGTTAGGTTTCGGTTTAGTTTTCGGTTCTTTTTGTAATATACGTCTTTTATAATGCCAGTTCCAAGCGTATGCATTAACTGTATATAGAATAACTATTTTAATATAATCATGCTTCTCTTAATACATACCCTTGGGTAAGATCCGTTTAAAAGAATGTGATTCTAGAGGGTAGAGTGTGTCGGTTTTAGTTTCGGGTTTCTCGGAGCACTAGTTACTAATCTAGATTAATAAAGTATAGTACAAAACAACTTTTTCTATCGATATTCAAAATGAAAACAGAAACAGGATTTTATGCGCTAAATTCCGAGAAACGAATCATTCCATTTTTCTGTATATTGATAAGAAAAAAAAGAAGACAAATCATCTCTCGATTTGTACAAGCACGATTTAAAGAAGTTAATTCTAGCATAAAGCAGAATTTCACACGATACAATATTCTGGAGTCACAGGTGGTATTTTACTTGATTTCAAGTTACTCAAGTGACAATACAATTTGTATGATATTGTATAGCGATAGTAAAATGAATGCATCTTGTATGGTAATGAATATCATCAATGAATGAACACGCGCGCGTTAAATTAATATTGAAGCGGACATACGTATTTTAAATTTTCGGAGGCGAGTTATATTAGTAAGTAACTGTGTGTATCAAAAATAGCATTTTTTTGTTACAACAGAAGCATAGTATTAAAAATTTAATTTATTAATTAAAAATATTTATTTAATTCAAGATAAATTTTAGTAATTTAGGATAAATGATAAAGACTAATTAATGTGTAAAAAAGAAGTGTATTAACAGGACTGGACGACAAAATATTTACAAGAAAACTAAGTCACTGTATTCTGCATTTGTATTCTGTATTCTATTATACTTTATGTAACGAAAAAGAAATATCATACATTTGAAAAGTGCATTGATAAAATCAACTCGTTCGATTGTTCATTTGATTTGTATAATTAGTATTCGAATCTCCACGAACAACGTCAACTTCGAAAGCGATAACGGGCGCAACGAAGTTGCATAGTCATTGGAAATAGTATCACAAAAGTGAAGAGCAATTTTTAATTATTTTTTTGTTGTTCATGATTTGAAGAATCAGACGAAGATGAGGATGTATTTGGTCTTGGAATACGACCAGCTCGTTCATGCAATATTCTGCGTTTACGATAACGTTCAAGTTTACGGTCTAGGGCCGAGAAAATAGCAGCATCTTCTAATTCCAATTCTGCTGGCTCTTCACACATAACAACATTTGGGAAGATTACGATGGTTTTACTGTTTCCAGACATTTTATCAATTATGATTATTTGGAGGTTGAAATTATTGAAGGGGAGAGAAAACCTCTTTATTTATAATAAATTGTGGAATACACAAAGGTTCTAAAAAAAGAAAATTCTTCTGTGATCGTGCTTTTTGTGTTTATATGAGAGAGGTTTGTTCTTTGCCTTTGTTTACTTAATTTTTTCACTTTGTCGAGGAGGATACTCCGTATTATATATGAAATCTTGTTACACAATCAACTAACAACGATTGGTTTTCGAAAAAAGCGATGCTAGTACATGTTCTGTTTTAGTTACACTATTAAATTACCAATGTCGGATGGGATATTATTAGCTTTACATAGCGATACGATAGATTGGTTTTTTGCATGATGATGCAAAAAAGATATCACAACACTAGGGGATACGCCGAAGCATGTCACTCCGTGTTTCCTATACTCATTTTAAGTTAATGCAATAACAACACGAATCTTATTTAATGATGATACAAAATTACTTTTGATCTTCTCTCTAGAACATATTTACATGTGTCCCCAACGACATAAAGTTCGTGATACACATAAAAATTCAGAAAAGGCATAGTGCCTTTCAACGCAACCAATAGCTTTCGCATAGGAACACTACTCTGAAACGAAACTTATTTCCTCTACGCTTTTTCTTGCATTATTTTCAGATAAATATTTCGAGTGTTTTTAAGGAAAAGTTACGTTGCTCATCCCAAACTTTAAACGAATTTCTTTATACGTAGATTGGATTACGGTTACAGAGCATGTTGTTTATCGTTATTTAACGTTAATTATGCAAATGATCGAACGAAAACGGTAAAAAACAAGTCACCCTTGTTTATAGTCACATCTTTATAATCACCATCTAAAAATAACAAATACTTGTAACGTTATACGTACCTTTTAAATGTAAATGTACAATGGTAAATGTACAACAGAATGATATGGTTCATTGTTCTTATCGCTATTAAAAATAATAACAGCGATAAGTCAATGTGTTATTATAGTGTCAAATAAAGACAACGCATTCATTTATTGCCAATGAGATATACTATTTCTATTTAAAATAATAAAAAAAAAATAAACGTAACCACACAACTTTCGAATGATTTTACTAATCATTCTATGTAGTATATTTTAACTGTCTTGTTTCTGAATATTGATTCTTTACAATTCTAACGCTAAGAATTCTTGGTCTTGCATCATTCCGAGTTTTTTTTGATTCGATCCAAGAAATTCTCCGACTGTGTTCTAACCAACAATGACGTATATCGATATTTGATCTTATAAGCGAAAGATTCTTATTGGTGTGCTTGCAGATCTTGTTAATTTTCAAACTTGAACAAATCAAAAGTGAAAACTACGTAATTTTTTATCTTTGCCAAAAAGAGTTAAATATGCACGTGTCTGTTTTAAAAAACTTATATCGCTATTGAATCCATTTCTATTCTTTTTTTGGGAATTGATTAGACGGTAACGGCAAGGGCAGCTTAAAATTCCTTGTTAGGAATCCGTTAAATCAATGGTAATATCCGGTTTTAAAGCAGATTACCAAAAAGAATCGTAATAAACATCCTAATTGGATGAAGTAATGAAATATTTTGATGTTTGGGCTTATTGTTGATTCTTTTTTGTATACAAAGACCACGCATTGATTTGATATCTTTATCGGACCTGTAAAAAAGCTGTTTGATACTGTACGTATAATAAACACATGGCAATGCATTATATAAATTTTCTTAAAAAAATGAAATCAAGGTCTGCACGTTTTCATTGCCATTTTTGGGCGGTTCTCAGGACCGACAATGAGCTACTGAACTTATCGTTATAACGATTAAATCAGTTATTCCTTTGCATTTATTTTTTGAAGGTAAATATTCTCGTTTCAAAGAAGCGGCTGTGAAAACTACATTGGCTGCTCCAATTTCCAATAGATGATGATTTCAATTATTGCAATACGTACATGTATTTTCATTAGCCGTTTATAGACTTGAGAAAATTACAAGACTGTATACCATAAACTATCGCTATTGTAATTCATCATTGAAAGAGCGAGATTTAGATATTGATTTATCTGTCAGCGTGTATGCATGCTTGAATTGACGCTTTTGATTGGCAGAACGCGTCTTCCTTGTAAAAAAATATCCGGTGCGTTTTATTCCAAAATTCCGGCTAGCGGAAAAAATTGTAATTTTATCCAGCAAATATCCGGAATTTGATACAAAAAACTACCGGTGAATTTCTGATATATAGAAACATTTTTAATGCCTTTTAAATTATATTATCAAAACTGAATTGATAAATCATTAAATGCTATTATAATTACTTCCATTATTTGCACCTACACTAGTCCCTTCTTCATCTCGTTCGTCAAATTTATGTTCTAATTCTTCATAACCCAACACCCTATATAATAATTTCGCAATCAAAAAAGTACCCACAAATAATGCAAGAATTAAATAACCAATTAAGCCGAAATTATCACCCAACATTGCAAAGAAACCCCAAAAAGGTCCCTCCAATTCTAATTTATCCCCGATAATATTGAGTAATTCAATTCCACCGATCACGAATGCGACAACAATGGAAAGGAAAGTGATAACAAGATTATAATAGATTTTTCTGATGGGATTAATGTAAGCCCATGTATAAGCACCTAGCATTAATATTCCATCAGCAGTATCAATCAATGCCATTCCTGCCGTAAATAACAAGGGGAAGAACATGATTAACCAAACAGGTAATCCATGATTTGCCTGAACTGCAGCAATTCCCAACAATCCAACTTCGGTACTCGTATCGAATCCTAATCCAAATAAAACACCCAATGGATACATTTTCCAACTCGAATCTATAAATTGATAGATAGGCTTAAAGAATCTTCCCAAAACACCGCCACTATTCATAATCTCTTCGATACTCTCTTCTTCAAATGTCCCAGTTTGTCTCATACGTCTGAGCGTTTTGAAGACAGAGATGAAAACTATCGTATTCATTAATCCGATAAGAAAAAGAAACGCGGCAGAGATTGAAGCACCAATAAGACCGCCAATTTTTTCGAAATCACCGAATGTTTCCTTAATAGTTGTTGTGGTAACTACAATTGCTATTGAAACGCAGATTACTATGGTTGAATGTCCGAGCGAAAAAAATAGTCCAACTGTTGTCGGATGGCCATTGGATTGTAATAGTTTTCGGGTAACATTATCAATTGCTGCTAAATGGTCAGCATCTACGGCATGACGTAAACCCAAAGTATACGCCAATGCAGCAGTGCCCATCAATGTCGGATAATTTACAAATGCAACTGCAGTTGCAATCCATACTCCGATGTTAACTAGAACTAACGAAAAAAGTATGAATACTATTTTTCGAGTCACATAGGAAGATGGGTATTTTTGTTGAAGTTGTAATAACGGAGAGTTTTCATTCGAAATTGTTTCTTCTATTTGAATTTGGCTGGACATTTTTCTATTCGTTAAGAGGAAAAATTAAAAATGGAACTAACAATAAAAAAAATCGTTTCACATGCATGCTTGATAGAAATTCTATTGCCTATCACTATCTCTTTTCAGAATTCGTGATCCAGATTACGAGGATTAACGTTAACGTTAACGTTAACATCAATTCTAATGTATACAGCATTAATTACAGATATATCGATATAGAGCGTTATAATCCATTCAATTACTTTTTTCCTTCTGAATTGAGCTTTCTCGACAAAGAACCGAGTATGGTAGTATAAATCCACAGTATATGCGGGAAGATAACAAATTAACTTTGCGATCATTTTTTGTTAGTCCAATTACTCGGACTCTGAAACATGGGAAATAATATATATGCATTATCACAAATTTTAATTTTTTTCTCAAATGACATGATCGACTTGTGTGTAACCAGATGATTGAAAAAAACAGCTGGACATAATTTGTGAAGTTATACTCGAATATTAACGTTAAGAGTAATAGAAGATGCATGTAATTAACAGATTGATCAAAACTTCGATGTGGGATAATGCAAACGGTTGATGCAAACAGGATGATACAGGATATACAGGATATACAGGATAAACTCATAAACAAAAGTGTGTTTGTGGCTCTGTTTGTGTGTGATGCACGTACATATGAACTTCCTCCGATTTGTTCTTCACCGGCCGGTTAGCCGGTTGAGAATATTGACAAAGTTAAATATAACAGAGTACTTTTAGAAATACAGGTTATACATTACATTAACGTTAATACGAATATCTAATGAATACAATTTGAAGATACATAGAACCTTCGAACAATAATTTGTCTATTCTTACGATGAAACGAACAATGACATTTTTCCAGAATCATAAATTTTATTGAATAATTTCATTACGTTACCACGAAATGAAAGAAATAGCGACAAAGTAAAAAAATACTCTTAACTCAAAAAGTTCGAGCAAATGAATGTTTATTTTATAACAATGACAGGGACAAAGCGCGGTAAATTATTTATCTGACATGAGACTGCACTCTGCCTTTTCGTGTTGTTTAGTATTTATGATATGCAAAGATCAAAAAAATGCAAGTGACTTAAAAAAGTTTAGTTCTAATGGTACTTTAATACTAACGACAATATATATTAACGTTAAAGAAAACACCATTGTTAAAATTCTTTTTCCCCCAAATGCGTGTAACAAATATAATGCACTGTATTGCTCATAGTCATTAATGTTGAACATTGACACGCATGCAGTCTTTGGACAATGTTCTTTATTCGGGAAAAAACGTTAATAAATATTTTCTTATTTCCATAATTGGTAATAATTTCGTATATTCGCAACTGCCAAAGCGAGAAAATAAATACATTTATAATAAATTATGAAATTATTATAACTAAGACCTAATAATAAGCAAAATATTGCGTATTGTTTTACAGTATAATATCCATCACTAATTACATTGTTAAATTTGAGAAACGATTGTTTATGAGAAAGTCTTAACGTTTTATTTTACTATTATTCTTTCCTATATTCACAGATTAATAAGTGATTTCTCGCGCGTGAGCAAATGTCGTTTTTGCAATACATACATGCACTCACATACACATATACACGTCTTTGTCATTAAATGTGGGGTTGAGTGGCGCGCTTTGTCCTTCGGTTAATCTGCTGTTTAACCTGTCAAAAGTTGGAATAGTCAGAACATGCAATAGATAATGTTCACATAAATCAAATAATCGTTCAATGAACAAACGTCTATTAAATAAATACTCTGACACAATCCATCGTTATTTTTTATCCATTTTTTTCTTTTCTGTACCCCAGACTTTTATAATTGGATTTTTGCATTAATGACGTCTTTTGATGTTAATGAGAGAGTAAATAACCAATAATCAAAAGTCAACAAATAATACGAAATGAAAAGACCACAAATAAGTTTATTATCAAAGTTACGCGTTGTATTGACAATCTGGCTTGCTTTTCAAGCATTGAAAACACTTACTATTCTTCATATGATGGCTAGAAAGTATGGTTATGACTCTAAAGGTAATTGTTATATTAATTGTCGTTGTTGCCAATATAAATTACCTATTGATTCTCTTTGCGTTGTTTTAGGGGCATTCATATTAATGGTGCGGCAGCTAGCACCACCGATACTCGTCATAAATGTGATCACTTGGTTAGTATTTTGGTTCGATAAGAAACAATCGGTCTTACAAAATTGGCGAACGCCTGAACGTGAATTACTCTGGTGGCTTTGGACTACTGGTAAATAAAGAGTTTAGTTATTTTCTATTCATTACAAGAATTAATTGTAATTTTTGACGCGTTTTAGGAGTATTTGGTGGTTGGTTCAGTATGTTTGGTAAGATATTAAATCAAATTCACGTGATTTTGTTTATGCATTATTGTTATACATTTCTCGATTAATAATAATAATGAGTACTGTTAACGTTAATAATTGTTTAGCATGTCGACATAAAATCCGTAAAGAATCATTTGTTGTAAAAGCGCTTCTCTCAACCATATTCAATCTCACTTGGTTCATTTTCTATTTGATGTTTGAAGTATCCAAAAAAGCTTCAATTAATTATTACTATTCACGAACACCTTCCTCTTTAATTTTTAGTTTGTAATAGACGACACTAATATTCTTTTTTGCCATTTGTGATCGATAAATTCAAATTACAGTAATTTAGTTTTAATACACTAATACATGTACATGTACTTTTTTGCCAATTTGTAATCGATAAAATAAAATAAAATTGGATAGATTGTTTCCATTACAGTATATGTAGCGATAGTTGCTACGTAATTTGTAAATTTAAATCGCACAGTACCGGTACGTACGTACATACGTAGTTTTAATGCTTTACTTGTAACCCTTATAAAGAATGTAATGTTTTATAAGGCTTAAATTTCTTGGGAGATATTCCGTATTGGTATGTTCTCTTAATTTTTAAATTGTTTGATTATTCCTATTATAATCTTTAAAATTTAATTTTATTGAAAATCATGATATTTTAAAACATTAATATTCTATTTCTATTAACGAAAAAAAAACTTTAGATTGAGAGTGATGAAAAAGATGCTGAAAGAAAAACACAGTTTAATATCAACTCTTGTGAGACATAATAACTTTACCTTCATTTGCTTTATTTGGAGCATATAAACTGTTTGTTACTTGTAGACTCAACATCAATGCGTATTTATATTCTAACGTTGCAAGCAATACTAGTACTGTATTTTTTGAAAAAGAAATATTCAATAGCAAATTTACCTTCATTGGAAATATACAAAATATTCAATTATTAATAAAAAAGTCAATATGATTCATAACTCTCCTTAAATGCAACTCTATAAATGCAATCTCTCTAAATGCACGTTACATCTCAGTCTCATAATGGGACTTATAGATAAATGCTCGCTCTCTATTCTGTAAGTGCCACGTTATCTCTTAGCTCATCTACGTATATCGCAAAGTCTATAAAGAAAATTATACTTCCACGCTCTTCGTACCCACTCCAAGGAGTATACTACTTTCTTACAAACTGGCATCTAGTTCGGAGAATAATTTGCGTTCTCTTTCTAACATTAGTTGTAGCACTTGTACTGTTTGCGTTTCTACTTCGTCTACAAGCAAATGAGCTCTCCAATGTCAGAGTTCCTACATGGTTATCATGGATACTTTTGGTGATTCTATGTACATGTATTATAGAGTGTGGCATTCACCTTAGTTTTTTATTTAATTGTACTCCGATTTGACAAGACGCATTGTTTGACCAGGTGTTGAGGCTGAAAGAATTATCGCGGGTGTTAGACGAACGAGAAAGAAATGTTTCCTATGTGACATTGTGTTGTCGTGGTTTCTGGACGGATTGACTTTGGTAGCATTTCATATTATACTGTCAAAATCATAAGTAACTGACCCCCCCCCCCCAATAAATTTTCGAAAATCATGTGTAAGGTTATGAAAATTTCGCATTTACTAATCCCCCAAGTTCTGATCAGTTGACAAAGATGCATAAATTTTTGATCAACCCGGCAAAACAAATCTGACACAAGAAAATTAAAAAGGCGAATAATGTGAGAAATACGAAAAACGAATGAGTAAAAAATTTTGGGAAGACATTTTTACATATAATCATTCCTCCAGTTCTAACCCTTAATCCTAACACTAAAACTAACCTTTAATATCCTCAACCAATCAGAACTTGGGGGAAATTAGTAAATTTCCAGATACAAAGAAAATACAAATGCTGATTATGATCAGCATTTGTATTTTCTTTGTATCTGGAAATTTTTACATGTATAACATTACACATGATTTTCGGAAAGTTATGAGAGTCAGTTACTTATGATTTTGACTGTACGTTGATAATTGTGGAGGTTATGTAAAATCAATTATGAGATTTCGATTGATGCTTGATTATAATTAATTGCAAACTTCTTGTTTGTTTAAACGAATGTTGTCAGTGCTGCATTGTGCTGATGTTATAATCGATGAGCAGAAGCGTTCGGGTACCAGTGATGCTGATAACAGAAGGTGGTTAAGCAGCTCTAGCAGAGTTGAATCTGATTATGTTGCTTATACCATTCACCTAAATCTGTATAAATAATTTTAAAATTTAAGACTAATAATAAAAATTTTTAATTATTAAAAAATGAAAATAACTATTATGTAATATATAATTAAAACTAATATTAAAAAAAATTTTTTTTTAAATTTTTGGTAAAATATACTAGATATAAATTATTATCATTATTGTTAAAAAAGATTCGGGTGTTAAAGGTTCCCTCCAACAGTATGTAATATCAGTGAAAATATTAATCCTACATCACGATTCTTGTTAATTTATTGACATCTATTGAAGTGACGATCTACTAAATTACATAACGGCGATAAAATTGTGCTAGCGCTAGACGTGTTAAATACGCATTTTTTTTTACATATATACGTATATCGAATTTCTATTTGTAAAACCTAGAATCTTTGTTATTACTACATTATCTTCCAATTAAGACTATACAATATGGTAATTTAAGGACTTGTATAATAATAGTCTTTTTGCTGATTTGCTATTTTCTCTTTGAAACTCAAAGATTATACGCATTCGACCTAAAGAGGGGATAAGTCGCTTTGAGATTGATCCAAATGACAATATTATTATGTTGGCAGAGAAAGTGAGAATCTTTGCTTTAAGTCATGAATCTATGAATATGAGCTTTATTTAAAACTAAACAAATGTCTTTTCCGTCAATATTGCAATCCAACTCAAATTTGATCCATCCACACTTAAAATATTAAAAGACCGCAAAATGGTATACAAGTGAAATATCTTTCCGGACAAAGCATCGCTCAGTTAGGATAAATTTTGAAGACGGAGCGAAATCAGACACTTCAGCAGTTTCTGCTGGTAAACAAACAGCATCAACAGTAGGATCATTTGAGCCAACAACGATTACCAGTTTATCATCCGCATTGAATGTAAAGCATTCTCTACATGGCATGTGTGATTACTGCATGTCCTTAGAGGTAAATAGTAGGTGTCTTTTTTTTGTTGTTACTTGAAAACATTAATTCTGTATTTACATTTAATTATTGATTTAGCCATACGATGTTAATTATTTGGTAGAAAATCAGACCAAACATGTCTTTTCATGCATATTTACGAAAAGTGCAAAAAGAGTATGTAAAGACAATTAACACCAATGCCAGATTTATTCTACCTCTAGAGGAACCAGATTACCATGTCAAGCAGCATTGTTTGAATGGTTATGCTCCTTTGTCGAAAGGTATTTGTACAAAATATTGACCAAGTGCAGTGATATTGCAACAACAATTAAAAGAACAATCAACATTGACTGCATTCCTCTTATTGATTCGATTAATTGATTTATTAGCAATTTTGTATGGTTGATCATATTGAATTTTTGACATTGAATCTCATTAATCACTATTTATTACTCATATTACAACATCTATTGCTCCTAATTCCACTACTCTTTCTAATCCCACTATTCCTATTTTTAATTCTACTATTTATTCTCCTAATTTCACTATTTCTCCTTCTAATTCCACTATTACTCCTCCTTCTAATTCCACTAATTCAAAATTTTCAGTTAGTATTATTGCTAAAAATCTTTATCAGATAAGAATTTGCTATAATTAGCATCACTCTTTTCAAGAGCATGTCACGGGTGTGACTACTTTGGCCATGACATAAAAGTTTTCCTAATATAAATATCAATAATTTGTACTTTCGGTGCTTTGGCTCTTAATATGTAATATCTACGTGTTCACATAAAGAACAACAGCCTATACCTTATAAATAAGAGTTTAAATTACACTATAATTAAATTATATGTACATTTGCTGGTTAATTGGTGTCGTAGTGGTGGTCAGTAGTTCCATTGTGATCATCTTTTCTTTTTTTATTTTTATTGTGATGGTGATAATTGTCTTTTTTTAAATTAATATTTCATTTTTTTTTAAATCTATGTACATGTATTTTGTTAGTTTACAAATAAAGGAAAGACATTATACAATAATTATATAGCTGTCTATTACATCACATTCATCAATGATTGCTGGTGACCATTTTTATTTTCTATTTTGAATTCGGTCACTGTAGTTGCTAGTGATCATTTTGATTTTACATGTACTTCGGTTACCAGTAACTACTGGTGACCATTTTATTGCGATTGATTTATTGATTAATAATTTGATCGATATATCGATCGATGAATAATTGCTTACTCAAAATGCCAGTAATTATGTACAATCTGTTTTTATACATTAAGAGTATGCTAAAGCTGGGTACATCTAATAATCAGTTCGAAATATAAACAATAAGGATGCGTAAATTTTTGATTAACCCAGCAAAACAAATTCGAAGCGCAAACAAAATATAAAAAATAATGGGAAACAAATACTTAAATTTATCTTGGTATACTAATAAAAAATGTCAGTGAGGCAATTTTATATATAATTTTGATCTCAACTCTAGTCCTGACCCTAACCCTAAGCTTAAAATTAATCTTTAATTATATAGTTACATATCACGTGAGATACCTGGCTTAACCACCTCCAAAAATAGACGTAAAACTTTTGATCACCAAAAAATTGGGTTGAATAAAAATAATTATTATCATTATATATATAATTTTATATGCGATCAATTTTAGTTTCATGAATTCGCAAGTATATATTAGTGAAATCTTAAATTAAAAAAATCTTATTCAATTTTATCTACCTTTCCAATCTCTAAACTATAGTGCTCACCATATATAATGAGAAAAATATGTCTTGTTTTATTTTGCATTATAATAATTTACAGATATATATTGCGAACGGGTTTTCTTAAGAACATTTCTTATTTCAAATATTTGATTTTAATTTTGATATAATGCTATAAATTTAATTAAAAAATTTTCTTTTTGACTTTTTTAAGATATTAAGTTGCCTTAAGAAAACTTGTTTACAATATATCAAAATATATATATTTAAATTTTTATATGTTTTTGATCAATTTTCATGATATAATAAAAAAAACTACCATTTAAATCAAGTGTTTTTATTTCATTTAAGGTGTACTATCAGAATTTGATCAGATAATGGGAAGTAATTACAATAAGTTATTCTATAAAGTAGTATATACATATATATAATCAGATGAGCACAAATATTTTCAGTTATTATTATGTCTGAAGTTTTGAGTCATCGATTGCTGATTCAATTTCTCTTTCTCTTTATTTAGGATTATTAAATTCTCTTAATTAGTGTTGATAAATACGTAGTATTTTAGGATCGTTAGTTATAGAGTACATAGTTTATATACATGTATATCTTTCTTTTTGTAAAATAATTGATAAAATGAATTTCTAAGCTTAGCTATTTTACATATTTATCTTCCTCTTGTCACTATCATCATAATGTCACTTATTTATTAACTTTATTGATATAGGTTTTATTGAGCAGCCCAGCCAAAGCAAACTCAAAAATTGACTTTGTATATGTATGAGCATTTTAACATCTCCAAGTGTTTTAAACTTTTGCATCACCAATCGAGAGTACTTCAGATTCTTTCACAACCACATTCGAAAAATACGTATCACTTAAAATATCAGCACAAACGTTAGTTTATCCAGTATTTGAAGCAATATTCACAAAGACTTTCTCAATTAGAATTTCCATAAAATTCACTTTAAACAAATAATGTGAAATTGATCCACGTAACAATTACGTATATAGTCATCCACATAATCTTCATCTTCATTTTCTGTATTTTATAGTCTTAATCGGAAGAAAAATGCAGTAACAACAAATATCCTGGATTTTACGAATAGAAATTCGATATATGTAAAAAAAATGCGCGTTTAACACGTCTACTTTAGCACAATTAAATATTACATAATTTAGAGAACGGCTAAAGCGTAGTCTATCATGTGATATATCTTAAAATATTAAAAGGTATTTTAACGTTAGGGTTA